TTACCCCGCAATGCCACAACTCCCCCCCAACCACCTCCTTGAGGACAACAACCAAATCGACCACACCTGCTACGACACCACCCCCGATAACCTCAGCTTCAACACCCTCTCGCAGATCGTTCACCGCGACGCAGAAATCCCCTGTTCCTTCCGATCCGGCGAAATCATGTCCTTCTCCGACCTCCCCCACGAGGACGTTTTCCTCTTCCTAACCCAGCTCCAGAACTCTTTTCACCTCCACCACATGCCCCTTGCCCACTGGCTCCCCATTGCCACCTCCCGCCTCCTCRGCAATGCYGCCAAATGGTGGATGGCTGAAGTCAGCAACCGCCGAGCCTCTGGAGGACCACGTCACTCCTTCCTCCAATGGGCCAAGCTTCTCGCTGCCACCTTCCGCCCCCAGAAAACCATTGACGACTACCTCGAACAATTCTGCCACCTCCTCCAAACCGGTCCCACAGACCACTTCGTCCAATACATCCGCTCCCTCCGCCATCACCTCCCCATTATCGTCGTTCCCGACTTTGCATTCATCTCCCGCATCAAGTGAGTATGCCACAAAGATCTTGCCACCGCCCTCGCCCACGAACCCGACATGCCCCTTGCTGACCTCCTTTCTCGCATGCTTCACGACAATCGACTCCTCCACCCCCATCACCAGTCCGCGCCCGCTCCCTCCCGCCCCCTCTTTTTCCATAACGACACCACTCAACCCACCTCCGATGACGACTTCGACACTGCCTCTCTCGACCCCTCCCAATTCACCATCGAGGACCTCCAGACCGCCCACCTTATACGGATGGAACGCCAGGATCGTGCCTCTCGACCGCCTTCTTCCTCTCCACCCCGCCGCCTCCAGAAACTCACACCCGCAGAACGCATATACCTCCAGGAACACAAYGGGTGTTTTCGTTGCYGCMAGTTAGGTCATCAACAGACCAACTGCCCCAACGCTAGCCACTTTACTCGACAGGCCCCTCGCTCCACGGGACCCGGCTCTTCTACTCCCACTCCTCCCTCCACCTGAACACTGTCCACCCAGTCTTCCATGTCGAGTACCTAAATGAATACCATGAATCCCCGCTCCAGTTCGCCGACCGCCTATATCCCAGACCTCCACCAATCATGCTACCCACTGACCCTGAATTAGTTGTCGAAACCATCATCGGCCGACGAACCACTCAGGTATCTGATCATCCGGAACCAATCACTGAATACAAAGTCAAATGGACCGGATACCCCGACGAAGAATCTACAWGGGAACCTCTCTCTAATCTTAAGAACGCCATGAAACTTGTACGCGCCTATGATCGCGCTAATCCTACGTCCTAGATACCTATATCACTATGGCATAAACCCCCGCTAAAAAGCCTTGCAACCCTGCTCTACACACACCCTTGAACCCCGTCCACCCTTCCCTTGATCCTCATTCCTGATGTCTGATCTGCCCTTGCCCTCGCCCAGCCTTGTCCCATCTGTCCTCTCCACTACCTTGTCTCTCTTGTCCAATGCTTGTGAACTTGCGTGACGCCGGCGATAAAGGATCTAATGGCAAGCGCACGAGGACGATGGCCTGCTGCCTCACTGTTCATGGAGATTATGCAGCTGGTTTGGCCACCATGCTGTTTGATTGGCCGGCATCCCGACTCGCGGACTTACGGGAGCAGCAACTTGTGACATGGATCTTTGCATCAGTCTGCGACTTGCTTCCAGATCAGACCTCATTGCAGTTCGTGTACCGGACGCACCCTAGCGCTTGGACTTTGACACTACGACTACGCTTCTTGGACTTCTACCTATCGCAGCTGCTGAAGACCGCTTCTACCACCTACTCCAAAGACCTGATCAAGACCGCTGCAGACCCCCTTTCAAGACACTTGGACACTTCGTTCCTAAATGAGATTCTGCTTCCGACTCCTTCGGACACACCAGCCTTCGCATCCTGAACAAACATTTTCATTTTTATTTTTCCTGACTTTGACAATTTCCCTAACCATTGTTCCCCGTACCCACTAGAACATCAATAGAAGTTCCCTGTTCCCTGAACTCCGTTCCCCCTTAACCTATAGCGAACCATGCAGTCCCCTTAGTTCATCAGTAGAACCTCCCTGCTCCCTATCTTCCCTTTAGTTCATTTGTAGGACTACCCTGTTCCTTGCAACCCCCTCTAGTTCATCAGTAGGACAACTCTGTTCACCGGTACCAAACCTTGTTCCCTTTTACTCCCGCAGCCCATGCCACCCACATTATACCCCTCTTCCCTTTTCGACTTGTTAACCAGTGATCGGCCCCGTCCCGTCCTTCACAGATTTCAGCATTGCTTCATGATTTTTGGCAGCCGGGACGTTGCCTTCTAGAGGGAGGGGATAGTGTTACGGACTTCGCCAGGGCTCGATCCCTGGTCTATCTTTTGCTGTTTCGGCTGCATCCCGTTTTCGGCCTGGCACCCTTTTTCCAAGCCCCTCCT